AAAAAAAAAAAAGATTACTCCTAAGAAAAATGAGCGTATTTTGATTTGAAAGAAATTTTATGGGTGTTTAACAATAAACTAATAAATGGTGAGATACTGATTTAATTCACAGTAGCTATTTGTCAATTTTTTAAAACTGGAGTCATCTCTAACAGGTTCTCCCAAATAAGCTGATGTTTGGGGAAAGGGGCTCCCAGGTCTGACCTCCGAGTGAGGCCGATAGTTGGCGGGCTCTAGGACCACGGGACACCGCCAGTCTCCCGGGGCTGCGCCTACGGGGGCCCAGCCTCCCGCCAGACCTAGAGCTCGGGGTTCCGGGTTTCTTCTTAAACTCCACCTCCCTCTCGAACGCCCAGTTCTCCCAGGCTGGAGTCCCCACTCCAGTCTCCTTCGATGAGCAATGGTGCCCATTCCTCAAGGCCCTAAATGCTGCCTACGTGAGGGCCACCCCTCATTTGGGACAAAATGCCCACTGCCTCCCCCATGTGTGCGCTTCAGGCACCCAGACTTACCAAGTGCGCAACCTAGGCCTCCCCCCTGTTCCCCTCTAGGCAAGTGGATGCCGGGTGCTGCTGGCCCCTCAAGCCACTGGGTGCTACCCTTGATTTCTCCCTGTCTTACCCCCTTCGGCGATCAGCAGCTCCTTCTCACCACCCCTAAGCACAAGTGGAACCTATCCACTTTCCCCGTCTCCGTCTCTGTTGTCACCCTGGCCCATGCCCCCATCAGTGGAGTCCTGACTCCTCTCCCCACTTCTGCTCCTCTCTGCTTCTAATCTCCACGCTGTAGCTGCAGAACTTTTTTCTTAAAATTATGTTTCAAATGAAATTTAAATTTCTTACTATGGTTCAAGGCCTGGCCACTCTCCCCACAGCCTCCTCCTGGACCTCTCTCTCACTCTGCCCTGGCCACACTGGCTTTTTTCTCCAGGTTGGCAAAAACCCCAAGTTGGGTCCTCAGGGCCTTCACACATGCTGTTCCTTCTCCCTGGGACTCTTCTCCCTATCCCCACCCTACACTTGTGTATCCTACCCAGGACCTAGTAGTATCTGTCCAGTAAACGAACAAAGGGGGTTCAAATTTTTTTCTTATGACATCTGGTTAAACTGAAGTCCCTTGATCTAATTCTGCCCTTCCATAGCATTAATATTTACTTACTTTCTATGTGTTGATTGCCTTTTATGTTTGAATTGGTTCATACTTGTCAGGGTTTGTAGATGGGAGAGCTGCTGATGGATACTGTGAAAGTTATCACACTATGTCATTCAGATTAATCTGTCTTGCTTTTAATCTCTGACAGTTAAAAAACAAACAAAACACTAAAACTCTCTAATGAATCTTTAAAAATTTTCAGAAAAGTCTCTATGTAATGCATCCTGCCACTGTTGGACAGGGAAGGCTGGGTGGGCGTGGCTGCTCGGATCCACCTCTCCAGATCTGTCCTGGGTGAGTTCTTAAGTCCTCTGACCTGGTCTGTAAAAAAATGTTTTGTTTTGTTTTTAATTTTTTTTTTTAACGCTTATTTATTTTTGAGACAGAGAGAGACAGAGCATGGACGGGGGAGGGTCAGAGAGAGAGGGAGACACAGAATCCAAAACAGGCTCCAGGCTCTGAGTTGCCAGCACAGAGCCCGACGCAGGGCTTGAACTCACGGACCGCGAGATCATAACCTGAACCGAAGTTGGACACTCGACCGACTGAGCCACCCAGGCACCCTCCCAAAAATGTTTTCTAATAGAAAGTCATTCGTGCTCATCTTAGAAAATGTGGAAAATTCAGAACTGCATAACAGCAAAATAATTTCAAAACATAGAGGTCATGTTAACAATTTCTTTTGCTTTTTCTTCCAGGTTTTTTTTCTACGTGTATGTACTGTAATTGACTATTTTATTATCAAAATTGAAATCATACCATATTCACAATACTTATCTTGCATTATGGCAGCATTTTGTCATTAGCATTAAATCATTAAACATTCTTGGAAAACATTTTTAACAGAGACTATCTGAGATATGTATCATAAATGAACTATTTCTATATTGCTGGGCAAGTAAATTATTTCTACTTTTTGGCATCAAAACCAAAGCTAAAATGTATATCCCTATATGTAAATCTTTGTTTGCAACTCCCATGATTGTCTTAGAGAACAGACCTAAAATCCTAAACAATACTGAGTCAGAGTTCAAATAATTTTTATTTTTGTTAATTTATATTTAGCTTAAATTGTATTACTTTTCAGTTTTGCCTAAAGTTCCTAGGAAATTACTATGAATTTGTCTTTATAGAAATAACTTCTCCCCCAAAGTAGGTTAAACAGTACAAAGAAAAATAAAGAGCACATACAGTGATGGAAATGTTCGAAGGTAGATTATGGTGATGATGCACAATTTGGTAACTTTATTAAAAATCTTTGAATCATGCAATTAAAATGGGTGAAATTAATGGTATATAACTTATATGTCTGTAAAGTTGTTTTAAAAAAGTACCTATGAGGGGCGCCTGGGTGGCTCAGTCGGTTGGGCATCCAACTTCGGCTCAGGTCATGATGTCACAGTCCGTCAGTCTGAGCCCTGCGTCAGGCTCTGTGCTGACAGCTCAGAGCCTGGAGCCTGCTTTGAATTCTGTGTCTCCCTCTCTCTCTGATCCTCCCCTGCTCATGCTCTGTCTCTCTGTGTCTCAAAAATGAATAAAAACATTAAAAAAAATTTTAAAGTACCTATGATCCCTCTATCGGGAAATAACTCCACTGTTGATATTTTGATATTTCTTTCAATATCTTTGATATTATTCTTTCCTGTATCAATATATTTTACAAATTATTTTTATAAAAATATATATTTGTGAATATTATTTATTGTATTTTATAGCGCCTCTTTTATCTAACTTAAAAAAATGTTTTTTAGATGTTTATTTTTGAAAGAGAGAGAGAGAGAGAGAGAGAGAGCCTGAGTGTATGGGCAGGCAAGGGGCAGAGAGAGAGGGAATCTGAAGCTAGCTCCAGGCTCTGAGCTGCCAGCACAGGGCCTGACACAGGGCTCAAACCTAGAACCGCGAGATCATTACCTGAGCCAAAGTCTAACGCTTAACTTACTGAGCCACCTTGTAATGAGAATTTGCCCATATCACTAAATATTCTTTGAAAATATTTGTAGTGGCTATGTGTAATTTAACTTTTCCCCAAGTCATCAGATATTTGGTTAGTGAAAATTATTCATTAGAAAATACACTTTGAAGAACATGTTTTAAACTTATTACATAGATATTTTTTAGCCTTTATTTTGGTGTAAAATGGACCTAACATAAAATTTACCATTTTAACCATTCTTAAGCGGACAGCTCAGTGGCATTAAGTACATTCACAATTTTGTGAAATCAAAGTATAAACAAACATTAAAATTTTTTTTTAATGTTTATGTATTTTTGAGAGAGAGAGAGAGAGAGACAGAGCATGAGTGGGGGAGGAGCAGAAAGAGAGGGAGACACAGAATTCGAAGCAGGCTCCAGGCTCTGAGCTGCCAGCACAGAGCCCGAAGGGAACTCACACACTGTGAGATCATGACCTGAGCCAAAGTTGGACGCTCTACCGACTGAGCTACCCAGGCACCCCTAAACAAACATTTTATCAAACTCTGGCCCATTCTTAGCAGCTGGGGCCACACAGGAGGTAGAGAAACAGACTCTAAGTTCTATGCAATCTCAAATCAGGCCTTGACTTCTGTCTTCCTACAGATTGTATGTGGTGTCTCTCTGCAGTATGTGGCCTCTCCTGGCTAGCAGCTCTCCCAAGAGACATGTGCCTCCAGTCTCTCCCTGCTTTCCAAGCTTTTCCTAAACAACAGTCAGCATCTCTGCATATTTTTACCCGGGCCTACTACATACATATGAGATCTCTGAGTGTCTTCCATCCATCAGGCCCTGTGTTAGGGACACAGGACTAGAGCATACATCCCCAGCAACTGAGAAATTTCCTGAGCAACTCCTCCCAAATTCCAGCTACTCTACCCAAAAACCAGTGGTGCAGTTGGAAGCAAGAGGCTTACTGCCTTGCATTTTCGTGTCTTTACAAATGGGCATTTCTTCCTCTTTGAAAGCCTCAGTATCTCCCTAGACAGTAGCTCTTTCTGGAACCCTTCTCCCTC